TTGCCAACGCTTGTAAATAGGTGAAATAGCTTAAGAGATGTAAAGACCAAAATGAAAGGTCTCTGTGTTGGTCGCAGTCTTGATTCACGGTCTAAAATTGGCATTTCTTCATGAGAGCTTACTTCCATTTCGAGTGAAAGTGTTTGGTGAAGAGATTCAAAGGTCGAGTCCACCAGAAGACAACGGCGGATTCCTCCTGATTGGCTTTACTGGAACATTCATGCCGACGCTGTATCCGACGTAATCTCCTTCGTTTCGACATAATACATAACCGGACGTGTTTCCCACTGCTCGATCGGAGCGATGGTTAAAATGGGCAGAGAGAGGAGTGATAGTGATCGTCAATTCTTGATGGCGAGTTTTCCTGACTCGTTTGCTAGAATATGTTTGTAAGGATGATGTTATGCTCTGATGATGTCCGTAATACGACGGACGAAAGTTTGACACAATTTCACCGGAATCGAGTGGGATTGCCTCAACGACAGCGTAAACAAGAGTGTTACAGTAAAGCCAATCGACAGCTGGTCAAGATGAATCCGCAATGGTCTTCTGGCGAGATCGAAAATTGAATCTCGTCACCAAACACTTTCACTTGAAATGGAAGTGAGCTCAACAATTATGCAGCAAGAGACTCATCAAAACCCAACTTTTCTTCGCATTTCTCTATAAGATATGAAGAAAAACGGGGTTTCGAAGAATTTTATCTGTGATAAATTAATGTAACTTTCTATTTCAAAAGAAAAGTTGCTTGGAAGGAATTCATCCAGTCTCAAATCATGCTGGGAGTGCTGATGAAATCTGGGCAAGATCGAACCAGCCGTCCTGCCTGACTTGGAAAATCTTTTGCGAAGAAGGTCTGAGCAAAGTTCAGTGTCATCATGAAACCGACAAGTGAACAATCAGTCCTTCATCACCTTTTGCTACCGAACATGACTGCAGCTATGCTTAAAGGTTGGTGGAACTGTGAAATCAGGAGTTGAGTAGAATTATATGAACTTTCACTACATTTCCTTTATGGTGATCAATCTTTATGTAGTCAGAAGTGTCAAGACTATATAAATCTTATATGAAATGTATTCACCCTATTTTAGGAAGCAAGACTATGTACAATGAAATGGAAATAACGCAAGGTCTACTCATATGATTGCGGGAAAGTTAACCCTCCAATTCATATATCCATAAATAAATGGCTCACTGATAGTCTCAAAATATAATTACAAACGAAAAATAAATTGCTTAATTGATTGCTTTAGTAAATACAACTTTGCTTCATCGAAAATCCCATCACAGAATGTGATATGGGAAAATGCCTGGCTTTTCTTGAAATTCACATCTACCCTCTGGATCAAGGACAATCGTGGCTATGCGGCCTAGTGGTTAACCTGTCGAGGTTAGACTCTGTACTGTCATGGTTCGAGTCCCGCCGGGTTACTAATAAACTGCAGTTTACTCTTGTCTGATTGAGAATATCTTTGGTGGAAGCATTGTGGTGACATTCAACTAACCATCCCAGTATCAACTTAAACAAAATAGGGTGAATATATCTCAAACTTTTCAGTTTGATCGTAACAATGATTATAATTAGTCACTCGGCTCACAATAGGACGAGTCTGTCTGTATGCTTACAAAGATGAGCCAGCCGTTGAATGGAAGAGTAACTTGCATTAAATGTCCAGACGAAAGCACCCAGATGGACTCATTTCTCTACAGAGAAGAGTTTTTGAGAGGAAAATTAATAGATCACGTTTTTATGCTTGACAAAACGTATTTTTTATTCGTACACGTCTGGTGGAGGCAAAAAATTGACATCATCATTTAATTTTTCTTTGATAATAATCACTTGGTTTAATCATAAATCTCGTCTATTTTCAGTAAGGTATGCTCGATGATAAAGTCTTAGGGTTTTAATTAAGTTGACAAAAAACATGCAATTCTGATGTTTTCTGTGTTGCTTTCATTCAGCTGTTTGGCTTGATCTGCACTTTGGATGCGGATGAATGCGACAGTTTCAAAAGATTGGTGCCTAAACTTTAAAAAGTTCCCATGCGAGGCTAACTCATAAACGGCGGCATTCGACAGTTAAGATACCTTGAACCAAAGTACTGGCATAAATTGGTGCAGATCATCCACGAGGATGAGGAGGAGGATCCACAATAAAAATAGACGGTCCATATGTCTGGTCGAAAAGGGTGCTAGACCCTCCAAAATGAGCCAGTCGAAAGAGAGCTTGTGGTCAATCTGTAGTGTCGAAGGAGAGAAAAAAGCTCGCTGCCGGTCCTCTTGACGAATGGTCATGAAAACAGCCAACGAAGGTCTCCGCTCAGCCTTCGGTCTTCCATTGACGAGACGATCTCCTCACACGCCCGTCTTTTGTTTCGTATGAAAGTGCCTGTCTCATGAGCAGGTCAATGGGTGGATCTTGCCGGAAGACAGTCCAGCTGACGCAGTCCACGAGACATCCGCTTCTCGTTTCGCCGCAAAACGGACTAGGCATTCGTTTGGCATGCCCCCATTCTTGCAAGAACCTCAAGTCAACCAGACTCACGAAGATCATACTGGACTGATGAGTTTTATGTACCAAGAAAAAGGGAGTTTCCACAAATCTCCTGAGATAACATTGTTGAGGTAAATCCAACCGGAAGACGACGGCCGATTTCTTTGCTCCTGCAACCGATGTTCAGGTACCCTAACTTACACGCATGCAACTACACGTAGACATGAACCCAAAAATCGAATTATTTGAGATAAAAAATAAATAATTAATTAATTCTGGATCTATCCACTTATATTTACGTATTTTCTCTTTTGTTTGCTAGTCTATAAAGCATGTAAGCTAAAGTCGGCCATTATTCTTAACTTTGTGCTGCAAGTATGACTTTCAGCTTCACCGAAATCCGAAAAGTGGCATAAGCGCATTGACAAAATCTCATCCGGTTTCAACCCAAAACAGGAAAGGATGTCTTATCAGCCGCTTCAAAGTGAAAAACCAGAGTCAGCTGTTGTTCTTCTTCCTCATTTCGCACCTTCACACGGAATAAAAGTTTTCACAGCACCGGTATCTCAAGAGATTCCTTCATGCCCGGCCACCCTCTTATAGCAACCCCATTGCATGCTCTCTCGTCAGCAGCATGAGCATCCTCCTGCCTCCAGACGGACAAACCGACCAGCGACCGATGTAGGCCATGCAATCGTGCATGGATCGCCTACAGGTGGATAGAGCTCGAAGACTGCGAGTTCACTGTCTACAAGCGTTGAAGTGCATTTCCATTTCCAAACTCGACTCGACGTGTATTCGCGTACTTTCTTTGCAGAAAGATCGTGGCATTGCTCAACGCCGGCTGCCTGGCAGATTGACATTTATTGCGTGTCCTCAGAACAGCGCAGAAAAGAGCACACTTCTTTTTAGTGAAGCAGACGACAATGGGCTCGAGACGAGCATGGCGCTAGCTGCAGTTGATCGGGCAGTCGGAGCATTGTTGTCCAGACACGCGGGACCATGCAAACGCTGGAACGTCTGGATGGATTGCCCAGATTTGAGACTCCCATAAGAGCCGTCAGAAACAATTGGAAGCTACTCTGATGCGTCCAGAAGCTGGCGGTCGCGTATTTCACGGAAGCTGGAGGTCCTCTCTATCTTCATGCATGCATACACGAAAACAGTACATGTGCATGTTGGCGTGCACATACACGTAGACATGCAAGTGAATCTTCGCAAGTATACATTTCGACATAACCACACACACACACACACA